TTTTCCACTGGATTCCAGAGGAAAATCCGGACCTTTCCACATCATCACTGGACCTTCAGAGGAAAACTGCACCTTCTACAGGAGCACTGCTTCAACTGAACCACATCTGTCATCCAGGAGGACTGCAGCCACCATTTAATGGGACTGCTACCAACACCCTGACTGACAGGGTGTCAGGTTGTATTCTGACTCTGTCAGTGTTTTTCTTTTGTACTATTGCATGCATTTTATTTTTTCTCTTTTTTTTTTCCCCCTATTAAATGGTATTTCTGACTTGGAGTCTCTCACTGGTTTTGCTTTCAAACCAGTACAGGTTTCTTTTACCCAGCACGTAGACGTGGACGTCTAGAGAGCCACCATCAAGATTTTAATGGTAACAACTTCCCTACATCAAGGTCTCCAAGTTACACATGCTTCTACAAACAAACTCCATTTACAGGGTGTATCCTTCAGCCCTTATGCAAGTGGAATCCGGTCTAAGATAGCGATTTACACGTCACACTATTTAAACATGCTCCTAGGATCAGGCCTAAGGAGTGTACACGAAAATGTACTGGCATATATTCATTGTGTATTATTGTTTGCTAGGATTGCCACAGCCTGATGTTTCTGTATCTTCTTAAAAAGTTAGCTAATTTTGTTACCTGTCATGTAGGTCCCTGAAGGACAAAACAACAAAGGTTTCCTGAGAATGAATTAATATTCGTGAAGTGTTTCATTTTTGACATGTTGCTATCCTGAGGATGGACTTGCAAATCTGAGCAGCAAAATCAGCAGGCTGAATTTGCTCAGCTTTTGCTCTCCACAGCTATTTTACAGTACATATGGTTCGAAGTGGGTGCCTGAACATAAAACAGGATTATCCTCTATGCTGAAGTTCTTGTCTCTAAGGCTTCAAACAGCTTCTTTTCTTTCTGCCTTGCAGTCAGCATCCAGCTTGATGCACTGCCAAGGAATACTGGGGATTACTCAGCTCTGAGGGCAAGCCACCAGCACAGCAGTTCCACCAGGTCCCCCGGTCTGTCTTAAATATTCAGAATTGTCACTTAGGCTTACCAGGGAAGATGGTCATTAAGATTATTCAAAATGAGATCTGTCTTGGGTAACTTTTAACTTTGCTAAGATTAAACAAATTAAAATAAAATTTATCTTGGATGCCTGTCTTGGATTGATGGCTTTTTCACTGTGTTTTTCCAAATATTTAAAAGGTCCAGCCTATGCATTAGTACATTTCTAATCACAGAAATGATGTGCTGTGCACCTGGAGGACTAGACCTTGACCGAAATCCAATACAGGGATCAGTAAAAATCCCTAATGATAAACTATTTTGCTTTTTATTTTTTAAGAACATGTTTACACTCCTTGAGTACTACACTGAAAAAACATCAAGCCAGTAAGACCTGTGAAGGTGTAAATATTAAGAAAAGTCAGAACTAAGTCCTATACTACTTTCTTGTTCCCACAGATGAGTATTTTGGGACTTTTTGATCACCCGTGTGATCAAATGCTATTTTTCCCCTAGTTCCCTGCCTCCTTAGAGGTGCAAAAGCTCAAGGGTTGCTAGTGGAACACAACTATACATAGAGGTGCTGTTTACTTCAAGATCTTGACTTTATTAAGGGCAGACACTGGAAGACATAACTAAATGAGGGAACTTTTGGATGAAAAAGGTATCATTGCAAGCAGATGGGTAGCTCTAGATCACTAGATTTATTGAGTGTTCCTAAGGAACTTGTCACTTAAACCATGTTCCATAACTGCAACCAAATGCTCTTTATCTTCTTGTATCCAACAAGAGACACTGCAAGTAAGATCAAAGTGATGCTGAACACGAATAAACACATGTAAGCACCAAGATATACACCTTGAACAAATAAAGTTTGTTCAAAAAAGAATGCCATAAAACACTATGCAACTCAGTATTTTGGCTTTCTACAATAGGGAAAGCTCATCAGAGTGACAGCCTTCCTCTCTGCCTTATTTCCCACTCCACAAAATGTGTACTGGTTAGAGCATGGTGCCAATAATGCCCAGGTTGTGGGTTTGGTCCCTTTATGGGCCATTCACTGAAAGAGTTAGACTCAGTGAACCTCGTGAGTCCCTTCCAACTCAGAATATTCTGTGATTTTGTGATATTGTTAAAACTACACAAACTGAAGGGGCTAAAAAGGAATAGCAATAGGACACAGCATCCATTGAAACACATGGTATGGTGTCTACCATATGCTAGAATAACACACATACACAAATACTGAGATAAAAGTTGATAAGAGAGCCTTGATTTTAATACTAATTTGAGTACCTTTCAGAGCTTGACTTGACATGCTTCTTTTACATTTCCAACACAATCCTTCTTTAGTTTAAATACTTCCAAAACCATTAAAAGCCCACAGCAGCAGGAACAAATTATCCTCAACCTCTTGTACTTGATGGTTATAAGTCATATTTCTTGATCTTATAATAAAGAGTACTTGTAAGTAGCTTAATCTTTGTGATATGGGGGCTGTGTCATGAGGAACATGGTAATATACTATGAACACAAAGCGATGTGGTTATCACAAGATGCAAAAGTCTACCAGGTAAATACTACAAAGCATAGGGGTGCACACTAATGTGTGCTTACCACATACACACTTACTGTCAAAACATGCACAGCCAGCACTCAATTTTCTCAGTGGTTATCCAATACAGAGAGATGGGAACTAGACTCCAGTAAAGACAGTTTGGTCTGGCAGAGTTCATTAACAAAGATGCAGCAGTGCATGAATATGTTAATCTGATTTCCAGTGAATGGCAGAAATTTTGTGGTGGGGATCCCAAAGCAGTAAGCTGTGAAACCCAAAGCCAGTTTTTTGTAGAACAATTTCCATCATGTCCCTAAAGTACTTAAGGACAATGCAACACAATTGTAGATGCCTAAGTTTAGCTTCAGCTCTGCTGAGCTAGTGCCTTTCCCGTAGTGCCTGATCCACTAAATGGCTCCGCATTTTACTTTGTATTCTTTGTCCCTCGGTACTACTTGAGGCCTGTGCTGCCAAAATGCATGAAATGCATTTGAGCCTATTCTTACATCCCACCTAACAAACCCTTCTGGAGGCTCATCCAGTAAACACCATGGAGCAAAGAACCCTGAGCAACCCCACAGTGATGGAGGCCTGGCAGAGACTGCACACCATAAACTTCCAGACCACAGCCGAGTCTCTGTTACTACTTGGTTGCCACTACACAGTGCACAGGAGTGTATCATCTAAATGTTCCTACTTGGTGAGAAAGCATCTTCCCTTCCTGTAATATCAGACAAGGCAGAGTTAAATGTGCATCACTTCGGACATAGAACAAGGATGAAAAGATTACACATTGAGTGTGATTATGAGACTTAAATATAAAAGTTTCCCAGCACACTAAAGAGGCCAGCTACATTGATTCAAAATATTACCGTGAACTAGGAAAAATTCAACAAGACAGACATAAAGGTTTTGTTGTGTGGGGCAACTTAGCCATTAAAGCTATAAATGTTTTTGGTTGTTTTTTCTTTTCTTAAATCCTGCTGAATCTGAACAAATTAGTCCAAGTCATCCCATCAGACCTTGGGATAAAAATCTTTGTGGGAGGCAAGGCACTGCAAGCGTTAGGAAACATTTTCAGTAGTGTAATAAAACAGAAATGATTGAGCAAGTATTCTTTCATTTGCTGGGTCAACAGGACCCTTCACGAGTTCAGCCCTGCAGAAATTCCACATAGCCCTATGAAACCTGAACCCGTTTGCACAAAACCTGTAGATAAGCGCAGTCCCTCACCTGCAAATGCCCCACACTTCGTGCTTCATTTTAAGATGTGTGAAAAGAAGAAATGACAAAAAGGGGTGTTGATCTGCTGCTCTCCATCAGCACCAACATGGTACAGGCACACAAGGTCTTTGACAAAAGCTTATGCTTAGCAGCAAAGATAAAAAAGTAGTTCAGTAAATGGCCCTAATACATTTCCGTAAGCCAGTGCAGGACAATGCTCAGTAGTGCATCTGTAAGCAGATATCAAAGGCCTCCCCATTCTTTGCACTCTAGAAGTTTATCGTCACCCAGGGCAGAAAGCTTAACACTTGGAGGTGACGACTCGGCGTCCCCCAGCTCAGTGAGACAGCGTGACCCTGGGGGCTGGGAGGGGGCGCGGAGCCAGGCCGGACAGCCGGGGTCTAGCCCCGAGAGGCGGCCCCGACCCCCAGCGCCCCGCCGGAGTCCGGCTCCCTCCGCCCTGCGGGTACGACCCGCGGCCCCGCACGGGCCGGCCCCTGCCGCGACACCCGGGCTGGGTCGGGACGCGGGGTCAGGTGCGGGGCCGGCGGCACTCACCGTGAGGAGGACGAGAAGCAGCGGAGGGGGGCGGCGGGGCTCGGCCGGGAGCCGCATGCTGCTGCTGCTGCTGCGGCGGTGCCCAGCGCGGCAGGGACTGCGCGGCCGGACCGGCGACAAGGATGCGGCAGATCCGGCTTCCTGGAGGAGGGGCCGCCGCCCGGGCAGGGCAGGGCAGGGCCCCGCTCCGCCACGGCAGGTGCGGAGGGGCTGGGCCACAAGACGCCGAGCCCCGGCCGTGCTGCGCAGCTCCTTGGAGGCTCCTGCAGCTCCGTACGGCAGGCGCCGGGCGGCGTCCCGGCAGCGGCGCGCCAGGGAGGGATCCCCGCGCAGGGCCGCGCCCGCCCGCTCCCTTGGCGGCTCCGCGGCAGCCCCCGCCCTCCCCCCTACCGGCGCAGTCCTAGGCCGAGACAGCTCCCGCTGCCGGGCGAGGCGCTTTAGGGCGGGGCGGCGGGACTGGGGCGCATCATCGCGGGCTGCCCGGGCCGGGCTGACAGCGCGGCCGCCCCGGCCCCGGCCCCAGCCCCGGCCCCGGCCCCGTGCCCGCGCTGCGCCCCGCCGGCCGCGCGGGGGCGCGCTCCCGGTGGGCCGGGCGCTGGCCGCGCCGCTCCCGAGTGTCCCGGAAGGCCCCGCGCAGGCCCCGCGCCGCGTCCGCAGGGGCCATGGCCGGGCTGTCCCGCACCGTCGGCATCTTCGGCGCCTTCGTGGCCGTGGTGGGAGCTGCCTTTTACCCCATTTATTTCCGGCCGCTGCTGCTGCCCGAGGAGTACAGTGAGTTCCTGAGCGGGGGGAGCTGGCTGGGCCTGGCCATGGCGCGGTCTGTGCCTGGCCATGGGGGGAATGCTGGAGCTGCTGCTCAGTGAGTGACTCTCGAGGGGCTTTCTGCTGGTCTAGGAGATACCTGGAAACCGAAATAGTACAACTCGCCGTACTCTTATTTCAAGTTATTGGGTACCACGTGATTAAGAACAACCTTCAGCTGCTCCTTAGAGAATTGAGATCAGAGAGATGGAGCACCTCTCCTTTACAGAGAAAGGCTGAGAGAATTGGGGTTCTTCAGCCTGGAGAAGAGAAGGGCTTCGGGATAACCTTGTAGAACACTTGAAGAGAGCATGTAAGAAAGCTGGGGCAGACTTTTTAGTAGGGCCTGTTGCAATAAGACTAGAGGTAATGTTTTTTAACTAAACAGAGTAAGTTCAGAGTAGATAGAAGGAATACATTTTTTTATAATGGTGCTGGTGAACCACTACAACAGATTATCCCCAAAGGAGCGGTGGGTGTCCCATCCGTGGAAACATTCAAGATTAGGTTGGACAGGGCTCTGAGCAGCTTGATTTAGCTGAAGATGTCCCTGCTCAGTGCAGGAGAGGTGGACTAGGTGATCTGAAAAGGTCCCTTCCAATGATTCTATGAGCTGTTCGAATTCTGTTTCCCAGCTGCAGTTGAAAATCTAACGTAAAACTTAGCAATAGTTGTGATGATTTTCTAGAACTGGTTTTAGTCTGCAGAGTCTCTGAAACTGACTCCTGAGGAAAGCCCCACTTTCCTACCAGAAACACCTGCCAGGAAAACCTGCAAAAGCCCACAACTGACTCTATCCAGGAAGCCCTGGAAGGCACCTGCAGCTCCAGGTGCAAAGCCTCGGCGGCCCCAGGCAGGTGCTCCATAGGGCAAGCACCCATTACTCCTGAACTTCTGTGAAATACTGCCTAAGGAAATGGGGGGAAAGTTCTGGTGCAACCAGCCTTGCCCCCTCACTTTAATTTTTATGAAACTAAGCAAGCTGATAACATGAAGATACAATCTGCCAAGAAAACTGAAGATTTCTAGGAAGGAAAAAGAAAAAAGGATAACAAAGTTACTGATCTTATTGGAGGGGCTTTGGCCTTGTATCAAAGCTCAAGTAAAATTTAACGGACAAACAAGTTTTTATTCAAGGATGCTGTGTTCGTGAAAATTCCTGCAATTGTTTCCTACTCCGTGTTCCCTTTGGAAACTTTATTACTAGATCTTTTTTGCTTATGCTATGCTTTCCAAAAACACTATATTAGAAATGTGGCTTGACAGTAAGAAAAGGACAGAACTAGTGGAGCATGTCCTCCTTTGTACTTGTGAATTGTGTGAGTAGATGTTTCCAATCAGTTACGGGATTTTTAATCTCTATTTGGAACATAAATGATTGGTGCACAGTTAGCAAGTGCACAAGCTTGTGATTTGATACCTGATTCTAAACATTACTTATTGCTGCTGCTGAATCCCCATCTGATATCACCTTTATTCATTTCCAATGAGCTTTTTTTGATGCTCATCACTATGAGAGGCACAAGCATTTGTTATCACAATACTTGAGGAAAGATTGTGTACTTTTACAATTGTGGTGTTTGAACCAAAGTATTTAGCCTTTGGGGTACAAAGGATTTTCCAAGTACAGTCCAGTAAGCTGAATGACAACTTCCCTAGAAGCTCCCACCCTCTGTTGGCTTGAGCTGTGGGTGAATACTCAGTATTTCTGTGTTTGGGGATACTGTGACCCAAAAGTTGGGCATTTTGATTAGCATCACATAGCAATGATGCGAAAGGCAAGAATGAATTTTCATTACCTGGAGTGACATTGAACTATGTAAACATGAAATGCTGTCTATTCTTTCTTCACTCTTGTTTTTCTCATGTATCTCTCAAATTCTATACAAGTGAAGTAGGTTAACATTCAGGAAGAGCACTTTACTGCATGATTCTCAGACATCTTCAGAGAAGTTCCTAGCAATTAACAAATAAGATGAAAGCTACTTAGAAAAACTGTATGTAATCAAATTGTTGATATGAACTGTAAGTTGTGAGCAAAGGAGTTTGACTTAATTTCATGCAGAAATGTTATCATTTTGTAAGTTTTTAGTACCTCAGTCTGTGGCTTTACTCTTTCTAATATTTTCCTGTCTGTATCTAGCTTTAAAAAAGACTGTTTCTTCATATGAAACATGCATTTTAGTGGCAATAATGAAACATTGAGGCCTTCAGCACAGACCTTTTCCACATGGATTACCTAAAACAGTGGCTTGACAGCTGCTCTTTGTCACACTTTCACAAATTTCCTGAATTGAATTGTGAGATTCCGTTCCTTTCCCATCCTGCGAGGTGGCTCTTCTGTCATCAAGACCGACTCTTCCTTCCTTGTCCTTCTTTTGGCTTACCTATCTTCCAGGTTGTTTGCAGGCCCCACAGCAGTCTCCCTATTGACTGTGTCCTATCTGTGTGTTTATCATCTCTTATGTTTTTGCACTGGTTTCTTTGCCTGACCAGTTAACAGCTCCTGCTGCTCAACCCAAGTGTGTCCCCAGAACTCTCAGACTGGTTCCTGGTTTTGCCCCTTCTACTCTAAGTTTCTACTCAAGACTGAATATCCTTCTCCTTCATGTCCTACAGGAAGTCTCATTCCTTGCCCTATTCTGTTCTCCCTTTCTGGGTTTTGTGCCTTTTCCTTTGAGATTTTGTCTGCTAAAAAGGATGAAATGGAGTTACCATGCTCAGTGAACAGGACTGGAGAACCTATATGTGCCTCTAGTGCCTGTCCCCTTGCAAGGAGAATCAATTACTGTGATATTCCTGCTAGTCTCTAGTAGCATTAGGCTTATCCCTAGACAGCCTGATAACATGTAGTGCCAGTGCATTCCCAGTGGGATAGGATAATGAAAAATTTCAGTTTTAAGGTGAGCTTAGTTCTGAGCTTCCTTTGCGAATGCACAGCACTGTGCACGTTTTTAAAGGCCTCAGAAGTTTAGTGATGTGGGCAAAAGGTTAATCCACCTGAGCTTTGAGTTCCTGCTTCAGAGTACCACTGTGGTGGTGAAGTGCATAACTGGAAGTGGAAGAAAAGGAGGGGCATTTAGTAAGGGAAAATAGTATAGTTTTCTCCATTTCTCTTCATGGAAGTGATTGGATCTTCCAAAGAAAAAAGCAAGGTCTGAGACAGGCCCAGTGTATTGGAAAATATCCCTCAGATGCTGAATTTCACGAAGTTTACAAGCAGTAATTTTGTAGGTGCTGTCATGAAATCTTTGCAAGATCTTACAGAGCTTGAAAATAGGAATCGCCCAAAGGAAAAAAATCTTTTGACTAGTTTTATGTTGAGCATACATATGAATGACCGCTTCTAAAAGTACTAATCATCCTTTAAGTGCCGAGACCATGGCAGGTGTTTTTGTATCTTTTACTAAACAGTAGGCATTGTTTAAAGATGATTATCTTCTTGTTTATAGTCTCTCAAAACAGACTAGCTATTAGCTTCTCAGTGAAGTAGAAATACTACATTCACATTCTGTAGGTAGATACTCGACAGAATTTTACTGTGTAGCATCTAGAATTAATAAAATTTTCAATTTTTATTGAGTGCAATCAAGATATCTGGTGTTTTCTTTTTTTTAGTAGTGTCCTTTCTGTTCTGTTTTCCAGAGAAAGAACAATTAATGAACCGAGCTGGTATTGTTCAAGAAGATATTCAGCCTGCAGGTACGCTTGATTTATGGTTTTGCATCGATTGTTTTAAAGACCCTCTTGAAATAAGGTCTGAATATTTATATGGATTTAAATAATACAGTGAAGAATATATTCAGTGAAAACATAGTTGATAACTTGACATTAAATCAGTTTTTCAGGCTAATTCCTCACTGAAAAATTATGGTTTTAATGAAGCTCACCTTAAAATGACTTAACTGGCCAAATAAGTTTAAGAGTTTCTGTTGTCTTCACACTTTCTTAAACAGAAGCCATTTCCATTTCTGAACTGGCTCAGAGCAAATAAGAACCATGGACAGGCTGAGCTGTAGCTATAAAGAACAATGTTGCATCCTTGTTTTGTGGAATACTGAACTCAGCTGAAACAGTTCATTAGCACTTTGGCAGTGCCTTCTGGCCTCGTGGTTGGATGGGCCATGAAGAAATCCACTGTGAAGGAAAGTTTGGAAAGCAGTGGTAATAACTTTTGGATCCTTGCTGTTGACAGTGGAGGGCTAAGAAAAGCATATGAGGGAAGTAACATTCAAGTATAGTAGTCTATCCTTGATAGTTCATTTCTTCGTAATGGTAAATAGAGTGGCTGTTCATTACGCGAGGCTGGCATTTCTTGATTAAAGATGTGAGAGTGCCTGTCTTGATGAAACATGTAATATCTGAATATGTTAAAGGGTAATGTATTTTTTGTTTTTGAAAAAGCCTAACATCAGCAGCAGGTGAAAATCAAATAAGATTAAAGCCATGACCTTATTACACACATTGGTTAGATTATTAGTACAGGACTTACTTTCCAGGGAAGTGGGTGAAATGCTGAAGAGACATAGGAAGGGTATTGTGGAATACAGGTATCGTAAACCTGTCTTTTTTACTAAACATTCAAGAGGACTGGACTGGCTCATTTATCCAAGATGCAGGTATTTAATGACCAGTTCTTCTTGGTGTAAGTTCTCATTTTCATCAGAATTTAGCTGCTGCTAAGTTACAAGATCCATTAGTTGAACAGGAAACCTAGACAAATTTAAGCACAAGGTGCAATTCTAAATGATTGATCCAACAATATTAGAACACCTTACCTATAAATGTGATAGATTTTTCCATTATCTGAAGTTTAAGATCAAGATGAAATTGTCTTTCTGTATATTTTTGCAAGTTTAAGCAAAGTTGCAAATTCAGTGCAGAAATTGTTGGCTTCTTCATTGTTTAATGCACTAAGCTGGGGAAGCAGACCTGTTTTGGGGTTTTTTTCCCTCTAATAGTCTAAATTATCAACTGCTGGTATTCTGATGTTTATTTTGTAGGGCTAAAAGTGTGGTCGGATCCATTTGGAAGAAAGTAATTGGCAGCTGGGTGTGTTGCAAAACTGAAGATGGACGTCTTCAGCTGCTCCTTCTTTCACTGAAGTGTGTCTTTGGGTGTCACTGGAGGAGAATTCTGAATATGCTGTGTGGGCACATGAGGAGTAACAAAGGCTACTGGTTGGAATCCCCAGAGATAAAAACGTACTAGTTTTGAGAGAGAATGCTGGTGCATAGCTCACAGACTGCTAGAAAGCTGAATGATTGAGTATAGAAGTGAAATATTTATTTCATTGAGAAAAGGAAAAAGGATTTTTTCTAATGTGTAGACGCTTATAGAGTAAATTATGGATAGAATAAATCATGCAGACTGCTGCAATTTCCTCCCTAGTTTGAAAGTTACAACATGGTGAGTGTGAATTTGTACATTAAAATTTTTAAACTTCTGTGTACTTTTTGTCATTATTTTGCAAGTGTGTGTGGAAGGTACCTTGGCCATCTGCCAGGTGTCCTTCGGCCATTCTTACTCCTCCTCCTCCACAGGACAAGGGGAGTAAATAGAATGACAGAGCTCATGGGTCTGGATAAACACAAGGAGATTTCTTACCAGTTATTTTTGCAGGCAAAACAGATTCAACTTGCAGAAAGTTAATGTAGTTAAGTAAGTAGAATTCTGACGCACAACATTTTAAAGATCATTGCAGGATCCTGTATTTTTTGAAAAATGTAACCTCAGAGTGTTATTCCTAATGTTAACAGATGCTTGTCATCTTTTTGGACATCACACACTTTTATTGGGACAACAGATGAAAGACTCCATGTTTACAGTGTTATTTTCCAAACTGCTATTCTGCTACTTGGTATTCTATTTCTACCTGTCTGTCATTACTCTCACACTCAGACACACGTCTCCTCAGTTTTTATTTAGTCTTCTATTATCACTCTAACAAAAATATTAGAATATTTTCTGTTTGCTTGTTGGGAAAATGTGGCCATTTCTTTGAGTTCTCAGGTCATTTTGCATGATGATTGGAGCCAGAGTGTACTCATTCAGTGTAGGGATCATAGATTGAAGGCTGCTAGGGCATCTGTGGGAACGTGATGCTCCAGACCCAGGAAGCCGCCAACCTTCCCAGAGAGAGAGTCCCGCAAGGAACTGCCTTCTAGGGGTCTTCTGGCAGGTCTCCAGCCACTGGATAAGCCTCAGCAAGCAGTGGCCGTGGCCACAAGTGATCAGCTCTGATCAGTGGTTTCAGCTCAGCAATTCCAGCTCTGCTTGCGAGGCTATCCCAGGCCAACCCAGGGACAGAGAGATGGGAAGTGTCGTATAGCAAAATCCACAGAGATTCCTTTCATATCCAGCAGCTCTGTGAAGGGAGCCAAGAACGACTGCTCCCTAAAGAACTGGGGGGAAAAAGGGGTTTTTATGGGGGAGAGCAAGGGGGAAAGACCAATGGGCTACAAAGGATTAACATGGGTACTAGGGCATGGTGGGGTAGCAGAAGCTTTCATCACCTTTCCAGTGAAGAACTTCTTCCTCATATCTCATATAAACCCACCTTCTTTCAGTCTGAAGTTTTACTACATACAACAGAGCAACATTCTCACAAAGCTAAATCAGTGTTTGCTGCGAGTTGAAAAAGAGGTTTTTAATCATTTAAATCTTTTTTCAGTGAGACTGCAGAAATGAGAAAGCCTTGGGGTTTTTTTTGTTTTCTTGAACGGAACTCATGCATCAGATCATTTCAGTGAAGTTTTTTCATCTAAAATACCTCCTCAGTGAAAATAAAACATTGCTGAAATGCAGATACTCTGTCTATAACTGAGAAGCTGCAAAGCAAAGATTTTTCAGAGAACGTGAGAATTTTTCCATTATGCAGCTTCTGTCACTTAGTGACACATATGCTTAAAAATCATGTATTGTGATAGTGTGGAGCCATCAGTATAAATGATGTGACAGAGAATGTGAAATTGCTTAGTTTGGGGTTAAGAGATAAGACAATCTCCGCTACTTGTTTACTTTTTGAAGTTGAGCAATTTGCTGAGTCTGAATCTTGCCTAGAAAAATGTTAGATGGCTTCTGAACAGTGGCTGCTGGTGGCAGCTACTGAGCCTTTTGCCTTCCTGTTACTTAAATGTTGCAAAACATTTGAGTACCTGAACTTGGTTATTTAGCATTTATAGAACTATACATGTCTGTTGGTCATGACCACGAATTCCTTCTGGTGCAGAAAAGCTCAGTAGGTTTTGTAATTGCCAGTTTATACAGAATTTACTGCAGTTTATAGCAGTTGAGTACTACTGAAGTGAATCTACATGCTAAAAACTGTACATTGGTATTAATGAACATCACTTCCCCCTCATGTTCCACCTAACAAAGTGGGCTCGTGGCCATAGCTTTAAAGCATTAGGATAGTGAATGTCTTTTTTCCAATTTTTGCTATTCTGTCTGGATAAAACTGTAAAGTCCACAAGGTATGTACTGCAGTAATTATGCAGCATTTACACTGACATTTTCTGATTGCTCTGGCATGTGCCAGTTGCCTGGAGACTTGTTCAATTCTCATGCATTAGGTTCCAGTCCTGGCTGGCTTTAAGACAATGCTTTGTTCTGCTCATGCCTGACATAAGCCTCTTCTTCCAGGTACCCAGTGACAAGTGAAATTCAGTGTAGTGAACTGTGCTCTCCAGGACTCTTATCTTGCTCTGGAAGTAGTTCACTACTCTCATAACCTCCCACTGCTATTAGGGAGGGACTAGGCCTGCGTTCTGCAGAGCAACTAAATTGGTTAGTTTTGGTCAAGTTGCTCTGATTGTTTTGATAATAATGCCTTCTTAGAATATTTTTAAAGCTGTTATCTCTGTCCTATTTCATGAATGCATTTTGCTTATTAATTATAGCTGGATTGTGAACAGAAAATATACCTTCAGCCCTTGAAGGACTGAAGAAAAGTTTTTAATAGTGGTTTGACATCCCAACAGAAACTGGTTATAGTAGGTTTTGGCCTGTTGTATCCTGATGTTTTGAAATTATTAAAACTTGTTTCATAAAGAGCAAATTTAGCATTTTGGTGTAAACACAGCTTAGTTATGAATCACTGCAGATTGTTGATGATGCAATGAAACCTTTAAGTACAAACACTTGAGAAGGAGTAAATGTGGCAAAAGATACAGGCAAATTGCCAGATTACACACATGTGCAGGAAGGAACAATCTCAATAAATGAGTGTAATATTCAGCAAGAAAAAATCCCACGGGATTTTTCTTGCTGAATATTGTAATTATTTACTGAGATTATTCCAAATGATGAGAGGGAATTTTTTATCTGTGATAGTCAAAGCACATCAAATAACCTCCATTTATCATGAATTTTACTCTATGTATGCCCTCCTACAAAAAAACAGGCCAGAAGTTGGAGTTCTCATGATTTGCTCTTTTCTAAACCAAATTAAAGCATGTGTTTTCCCTTCTTGCAGTCTAGCAATAATTAACTACTCATTTTCTCTGTATTGTGTACACTCCTACTGACCTTCATGTTAACATGCAGATGCAGCAGTAAATGAAAAGCTGTATTGGCTTTTTCTGTTGTGCCACACAGCCCAAAAAGTATGTTTGCTAGTGAAAGGAAATTATTCTCCAGCTTCTGAGAAAGTGCTGTGGAATATACACTGTTTCTATGTGGACAATTTACAACAGGTGAGAGCAAAACACAAAGTTCAGGTCAAAGCTTAGGTCAGATCTCTGATCTGAGGTCTCTTTCTCCATAGTGCAGACTGTGTGGGCCTTGCAGGAAAAATGGTGCAGTGTTTAAGTCACTGTCTTGGAAAATAGGACTGTTGTAATCAGTTCCATATTCCACCACGCTTTTGTCTGGCAGCAGGTAAGTAATTTAGCCTTTGAGCTTCAGTTCCATCTGTAAAATAGCCATAAGTAGTGCTCCCCTTCTTTGCAATTGAAGGTAAATACAGGAGTGTGGGGTTTTGATGCTCTAGAAATATTTTTTTTCTTGTCTGAGAAGTTTTCTTCAAGATTAGGAAAAATTGGTCTGAATTTGTGTGAGAATCAGATATTTTGGTTCTAGGAACTTAAAATGTTTTGAAGACTCTTTTCCAAAAGAAAATAACAATGAGAATTCACAGATCTTTGTACTGCGGAAATACTATGTTCTGAGAATGGAAATTTTATGTTTTGGGAGACAAACAGAAAACTCATCTGTTTTTCACAATACTAATATTTTTTTTGAAGAACTGCAAGTATGAGTAACATGAATGTTTCGTAGAGCTGTACAAAAAGGCAGAAGATTGGTTAGCTTTTTTTGGTGGCCAAGGTGCCTCAGCAATTTTTTGAGACTCAGCAATTTTCAATATTTTGAGTTGCTATTTCCCTTATTTTTTGTAATAATGGGTCCTCCCTTCTGACCTTGGCATGCCAAAAAAGCAACTGAAAGCCTTCTAAGAGTTACAAGTACTGAGCAGTGGAGGTTGGGGGACAGTGAAAGGAGGTGAGAAAGAACTTGAGATACTTCTGGGAAGAGTGTTCCTCCTGTAGCCCCAGAGGAACACTTGGAAGTGGCGTGATGGATGTGCAGCAGGAGACAGCATTCAGTTGAATGAGAGCATGAGGAGCATAGGACAGAAGTCCATTGACATACAGCCTTTGTAGGCTCTGCAGCTCACTGAGCAAATTGGGATACCTCTTGACCTCTTTTGTTTCCTCTCCAGCAGATGGGAAGTAAACCTTTATAAAGAAAGTTCCTAGGCAAGACAAAGGTCATAATGAGAAGAGTGCATCTGAGGAGGAATTATATAGCTGTCCTTTGCTCTAGCCTACCTTAAGAGGCCAAACATCACAGAATCATTTGTGCTGGAGAGGACCTCATGCTGAAAAGTGTCTTTCAGGCCCCAGGTCACAGCTCCTATCAGATTCTTTCCATAATTCAGAAGGGTGAGTATCAGCAGTGCCAGTCAAGGTAGTGGAGGAAGGTGCTCCCTTTACTTCAGAAATTCCTGTAGGAGGAGTTCTCAGCAACCCACAAGTGGATGGCTCAGGCACAGTCTAGGAATGTATTCTTCCACTATGAATGAAGAGAAACAACTGTGCATGTTAACCGGAAGTATTTGCTCCTTTATCTATTCTATATGAATTTTGGGGTGCCAGTGATTGTGGCAGGCCAGCTCTAGATCCATAGCTCCTCACCACTACAGGAAGGTTCATGCAAGAATTGTAACTTGTGCCATTTCTGGCTGATCAGTACCATTAGGAGTCCTCTGAAGCCTGGAAAACAGTTAATCTTAGAATATTCACTGTCTGCTTCTGTCCTCCTCTGGTTCTTACAGTTATCCTGTGAGTGGCTGATGTGAGCTTGCTGGATGTTCCATATAACAAAGAATTTCTTATAGTTCAATCCAAAATCCTATGTCCCACCTAAGAACCTTTGGGACATTTCTACTCGCATTTTCTGTATTTTTTTAACATGGGTTGTGTGATTTTGTGGCTTCTGCTGCCTGCCTACCTCTCTGTGCTTCTGGATCAAAGCAACATCAGTAAATGAAGGAGCCTGTAAGGAACTGTGAGGATCTGAGGGACACATTCCCATACCTGAAGTCTGGCAATCCTAGCAATATGTCTCAGAGTTTGTCCTGGTTGCTTTCAGTTGATAAGCTTTTGGTTCATTTCAAAAACTTGTCATTCCTTATTGCACTTAGCAGTTAAATTTTGTCCCATAGCTACTGTTCCAGCTATTCTTTTGCTCTGACATTGCCTCTCAAGTTGTTTAATCAGAAAATTTCATTAGTATACTTTGATTTTTGTGCCAAACAATTATGTTAAATTTGTCCTGGAACAGTCTTTTGAGGAATGCCACCAGTAAAATCCAGCCAGGCCAATGACTTCCCATTTGTCATTTCCGCTTTTAGCTACTTTCATGCTTGGCTTACAGTCCTTGCAGCTACTAATTGTTT